AAATTTTATAATAACAAAAATCAAGACAAAACATACACTTTCTGGGAACTGGATTTTAGTCTTGTTAACTACTGGCCACTTGTATTTCATACTTGGCCATGATTGAAGTGGTCTCTTTATACCAATAAGAAGCAGATTCTTCACTTGAGGAGGAACTCGAACCAGTGGCAGCATTTGGTGGCTTGACTGCATTTGTCCCTAACGATGAGAACAGTAAATGAGTAGGTTTAGGAGGTGGCATGATCTCCACTCCTCCTTCCAGCATCTTCACCACGGCACTCATTGGTGGCCTAGCTCCTGGTGAGTCTTGAACACACCACAATGCCACTAATGACATTCTCTCTGCCTTTTCCATGTCCTCCTTTTTAATCCCATAACTTTTTATTAGTTCAGCCAATTCACATTTCTGGTACTTATCCAACACAACCTTTGGAAACCAATCAACGATTTCAGAGGAACTACTAACTGTGTTTTTCCTTCTCCCAACTATCTCAAACAACAACATTCCAAAACTATACACATCACATTTGTAAGTTATGGGATGATTTCTCAGAAAAAGCTCGGGGGCAGAGTAACCAAGGGTTCCCTTGAATCCGGTAACTGAATCATGAGTATTGTCCCTGTTGCAAAGCTTTGCAAGCCCAAAATCTGCAACCTTAGAAAGGAAGTTTGCATCAAGTAGAATGTTGGCTGGCTTTATATCATAGTGAATAATTCTCTGTTGACAGCCTTGATGCAAATAAGCAATTCCTTGGGCTGTACCCACCGCTATTACATGCAATTTTTCCACTCAATCATCTCCTTCTTCCGAAACAAGTAATTATCAAGCGATCCATTTTCCATGAATTCATATACAAGCGCACTTGTATTTCTATCATAGCAAAAACCATAAAGTCTAACCAAATTAATGTGGTTTGTTCTTCCAATTGTGTCTATCTCTGCCATGAACTGCTTTTTTGCTGCTACCTCATATTTTTCCTTGAGCAACTTCACTGCAATCTTGACTCCATTTGGAAACTGCCCATCATAAACATCCCCATATGCACCAGACCCCAACCTTTTCGAGTAATTTCTTGTAAAGTCATCCAATTGCTGAGCAGTGTATCTCACCGGCTTCTCCTTGTCCCACTCTTGCAGAAATTTCTCCATTGTGGATGCATCGAAGGCTACCGTACCAATGTCAAGTCCCTTCAGCTTAACATCTGATTCAACATGCCCCTAAAGTGTAGGCTCCCTCGGCCTGCAAAAATCACCTTTTTTAAGTAACCACAATATTCCTTGAGAGATAAAAAGCAAAGACCTTCCAGTTGACGTTATAAGAAAATATATTCCCATTCTTGAATCAGATTCCTAAAGATTCCATTAGAAACAAAAATGCCACATTCATGAGTTTTTCTTCTTTGGTTTCAATGCACGTTGTGGTAATTTTTCTCTGTAACATAGTTCACTTACCTGATAACCTCAGCCCGGTGTTTAGTCTCCTCTGCAATCTCTGAGAGTTCCCTATAACTGTTCTTGTCACTGAAAAGGTTTTTTGTAGTGAAGGCGGTCTGTAATGGAAGTTAGAATAGCAGATATGAAATTAGAAGACAACAGCACATAACAAAAACAGAGAAACTGAAATCTCAGCAAAGATGTTATGTGAAGTTGACAATATATAGTAGAACCAAAATAGCTCCTCGTGTTAAGTATCATAGAGAATAATACCTTACGACCATGGAGATACTGAATGGTAAACTTGAGAAGAAAGAGAGGGAAATAAGTCACAACACTATAAAGCCAGATCACTCCTGCCTGTCTCCAGCCAATACCTTTTATTTTAGCAAAATCCCAATTTGCATAGACTGCAATCAGTGTTGCCACCTGACAAGTGGAAAATTGTTGACAAAAGTATTTCAATATTTTATGTGTTAATAAAGAAGAAAACAGAGACAAGAAATAAAATAAAAACCATATCAAATTGGATATTAGAAGATTTTACTAAGAAAATTTCAGAACGGGAATCTTACGTCAGCCTCAGAAATGAATAACAAGAAAAGGGGATGGAGGAGTTGCAGAAACCTCATAACCAAATAATAGTTCCAAAAACTTGGAAGGGTTATGGATATGAAGTCTTACCAGCTGAGCAACTATAAAAGCAATGACTAACAGAAGTCTGGGCCGTTCAACATAGGACCAGCTTGGGGATCGTGTCACAAAAATAAGGGCCAGGCTCACAATACTCACTTGAAGGTATAAAGCTGCCATAATTTCCTGATCAGTACCATAAGGACCATGCCACGGTTTTGGGAGAATTACAGAAAACATGTCCTGTAATATTGGAAAAGTTAAGAAAAACCATGAGAAATGTCACCAAAATATGAAGAGAAGATTGCAAAAGTATACTTACTGAGAAGAACTTGGTGTTTCTTATAGCCCAGAAAAATACTAG